CGAAATACGCGAAAGATTGATACTCTTTCGCTAAACGGCATTGACTCAGGTTTTGGTACTGATTATCGTGTAGTCTATTCTGAAGTTATTTCAGTCATGATAGCATGCGAGCTTTTTAATGAGATTCGTTCTGTCCACTAACAAAACTTGTGTACTATAAGAAATAACTATTTAAATAGTACGCGTATTTACCATTGATTTTGACTGCGTTTATAAATTAAAATATGTTGTAGGGAAAACGTAAATGAAAAAAGTTTCTTGTAGTCGATTTATAGCAAATTACGCCAACTCTAAATTTTATACTTAAAGGAGTGTCTTTCTGTTCTAAAGAAGTTTCCATATTGCCGGATAATTTTTAAACCAACCGAATGCTACACTTGAATTCAAGGTTTACAAACTGCGCACCGTTTATATCCTGTTTAAGAAAAAGTAGGTTTTTGCCTACGGTTTGAAGAATGTCATATGGTTCTCATAAAATGTTGCAATAGGTGTGAAAAATATTTTATGCCGTATAGACAGCATTAACAAATTGACAGATACGATGTATTATGAATGAACACCTCACATTCGTAAAAAAAGATCATAATTAGACATTTTTTAAAACCGAAAGATACACTTTCTTTAAGTATACAATTTAAAGGAGGCGTAATTTGTTATCAAACAAATACAAGGAATAATTTTTTCTTGTAAATTTTCCGTAAGGTATATTTGAATTTATAAAGACAAACGTTTTGTCAGCGGTCAAAAATAACCTTGTTAAAAAGCTGTCATCCTATCATGACTGAAATAAATTTGGAATAGACTTCACGATAATTAGTATCACAACCTTAGTCAATGCCGATAAGCGAAAGAGCATCAATCTTTTGCATATGTCGGCATGTTGCACGAATTCTGGCGCATACTGTAAATATCAATTCCCCCGCCCAATTATCTTAGGGGATTCGTGATTAACTATTTAATTCTTGGTTACCGAATGTAAATGAATATTTAATTGTGTCGAAATGGACTAATGAATGTTAAATTACAGCCATACTAAATAGAATCAACTCCATGAACATAAACTCCTGTTGTTTACTGATTTACATTTAACCTTATATTGGCGAAACTCAACGAAAAAAAAGAAATTGGACCTTATATTGGCGGAATTTAACGAACAAAGGGAAAGTCGGGCTACTGCCACATGTAAAAGTGAGTTATTATCATAACTCAAGGGCAAGTAAGACTTACAAGTTGAAAGACACATCAAACGAGGTCCAAAGTCACGAGCTGGGTTCAGCGGAGCACCACCAGCGCCGGTGTAGGCACTGAGCGCCAGGAACACCACCATTCCCAACAAAGCGGGCGAAATGCCCGCGGGCACAATCGGCAGCCTGCCCTCAATCATGGTGTAAATTCCGAAGGCCAGAAAGCCCGTC